TTAACGTACAGCCGTAGTAATTAACCGATCGATGTTTGTTTTTTGTGGGTAGCTTTCAAAGTATTTATACCAAACCAACATCTCGATGTAAGCTACATTTTCTGCTTACAGGTTTTTAGCTAATATTTGGCGTGCTGACCACGCCCATTTTTATAAAGAAGTTTAAGATCTTTGTAGTAAATATTCTTACTCAGCCGTAGATGTATTGTGGGTCATTACAGTTTGCAATCTATTGCGGATGAGTCATGGGTTCTTTTAACCCTTGTCTTCGGATATTAGTTAAGAAGAGTTCTCCTAGATTTTCTTCTTTCCATTATTGTGACTGCGAGCGACTGCTACCGCAGACATAAAGATGATTTTTTACATAAGTAGATGTTAGAGTTCCAAAGTGTTTTAATCCCAATACAGTTTGATAAGTTGGAGTTTTTGACTTAACGAAGACGAAAGGTAAGAATTTAAGGTGACGTTTTCAAACACAGGTAGGGAAAGAAAATTAATGAAAAGCATATAAAGTTTAAGAGGCTTACTCCAAGCATTACAAATATTTGACCATCACTTCCCAAACACGTAGACAGCAAGTGTGTTTGTTTGCAAAGTATAAAGTTTGACTCAAGCACTGTAAGATAAAGTAAAACTTAGTATATTGGTAGCGGGACGCTGAGGGTCGTACCAAGAAGCGCGTAGCACAAGTGCTTCGAAGATTGGAAAAATCATTGGCACAAGCGTATTATATCTAAGGGGGAATTACTTTGAAGGAGGTAAGATAATAGTGCTTGCTAGGTGCTTGGATGCATTTTGATTAACGACATCTGTAGCGTTTTTCTAGTGAAAAAATTATAAAAATACATGCGGCCACCTAATAATTGCCACTAGTCAAGTTCCTTGCAAACGATTTTCTTGCCCTTGAGAATTTCGTAGAAAACAAGGCTTTTTTGATAGCCTTCAGTAGCGAGCATGAATTTGGAGGCATAGGTCTTCGCCATCATTATACTGTGAGGTGGCTTCACGCAGATTTGAGGAAACACTATATGTATGTTGATAAGAAAATACTGGAAAAATATGATGAGAAAATACGCTGACAATATGCTGACAACAACATCATTGTAAGAGTAACATTATGACAATATCTCTAATCATAAGCTTGTTGAAAGCCAGCATATTTGTGGTAAGATTTAGAAGAATTTTCAATGTAATCTAATGAGATTCAGTTTTAGTGTTTGATCGAATTTGACCTTACTCAACACTATTTTAATAGGCAGAAAAAGCCGACAGGCAGACATAATAGGTCAACATGGCTTTTTATGGCAATTAAAATTGCTTCCCCCTGGCAAAAAAAGAAAAGTCAAGAGTAGTCAATTTTATTGCCATATTGATGGGACATTCGGGATATTTTTTAATTTCAAAAATAACTACACATTTTCGATTATTATCCATCGGCATTGTTTGGCAAATTACTTAAACGAAATGACGTCAGCCTTATTAGTATAACTGAATGCATTCTAAATATAGCCACACATACTTATTGTTTCACTGAGTTATTGTCACATGTACTAGAGAGAATCTCTTAAATGCTTAAATTTATTTTTGTTTATTTGTTTTGCGTTTTTTAGACAAACTCTCGTCATTTCGTACACAAAAAACAAACGATTATCGATTATGAAAACATTGTGGACTTTGGATACAGTTATTTTAAATCTTAAGAAGGCAATGACGTACTGAGCTATTCGAAATGAACAGCAATTACAATTTGTTATCATCTATGACATTTGGGTATTTGCGACGATACAAGTCGATTTGAAACGAGAACAAAAGAGGCATTAGGCTGCTCTATAAAGCGAAATCCAATAGATTTTGCCGGCCAGACGTAAGGACAATCATTAGGACAATCATGTAAATGTTGTGGGAAGTGTTTATCAGTTGACTTTAACCACTGCACTCTGACAAGCATTTGCTTTTAAACTGATCTACAAAACTGAACTGAGAATGCAACAGTGATGTGAAGTTTCGACTCTCAAAGATCTACATGGAATTTATATTATTAACCAGAAATTCCACATACCATGTATATATGTACATATACAGAGCATATATTTGATAGCGGCATAGGTTCGTTCAGCGCGTGAACTTTTAACGAGTACACTTTTATTAGTTAAAGAGATAACTTTTGTTGCTTTCTACGATTATCTTCCAAACATCTATGAACTTGTAACGCGATATTTGAAGGATTTCTTTGAATTTCGATTTTTACACCTAAATTAATCCTACACGAACCCAGAAAATCGGAAGGCGCAATATCTGCCAAGTATGAATGCTAGAAAAAGTTGAATTATAATTCTTTCAAATTTGTCAACATCGGATGGGTAATATACGAGTCAGCATTGTCATGATAGAAATTTATGGATTTGAGTAAAATAGAAAGTTTTGTTCGGACAGTCGGATCTTGCTAGTAACTAGAGGGTTGCTTATGGGTACATGTTTGAAGCGAATAGTTCCTTAGGAAATTGATCAACTACAAGGAACCGTCATCATAAGACGTAGTTTTAATTGCCGTAAGTGATGTGCAAAAGTAGAGACATTGCCACATCCTGCTTATTTCTTTTAGTCGAAAGATGCGACACTCATTTGTCAATCCAGGAAACATAACGAAGCTGTTTCCATAGGAGAAACGCGGTCCAATTGCCGATCGCAATCTTTGCGATTATTATTTTTCAATTTTTTTTCACTAAGGTACAGATAATTTCATCATGTCTAAACACGTTTAAGATATTCTCGAATCATACTCGGATGCTAAGATTATAAGTTAATTGACATGCGACATAGTCAAATCACACGTATTAAGAACAATTGGTTTGATAATATTTAAAGAATTGATTGATATTGAGAACGAATTACGGGTATTATTTGATTTTTTGCAAAGGGCTCTAAGCGGGCTGAAAAGCTCACAAGTGGCTGAGTTATTTTGAAAATGAAATTCCTAAGGAAACAGTTCCGAACATTGAAGTTTGCCTCCATACCACTTATTGACTTGAGAATACACCAAGCATGAATCTACGTGACGATAAAGGTACCAGAACTCTTTGAACTCGGCTATGAAATGATACACCAATACTATAACTATTCGAATACATGTAAGATAGTAAAGGAAAGCACTGCAGTTTAACAATGTGCTCCTGTAAATGTGTGTAAAAACGTATATTTCTATAGTTTAGTTGCGGTCAATACGAGATAAGAGTCAAACCTAAAACATCCTTTTCGTCTTCGTTACATCTGCCTGTTCATTGATCAGGCAATAATAAACTGATCCTTAAGAGAAGACAACCACTGCAAATATGTCAGATAATCAACTTCATTTTTATTGGCTTAAATCATCCTTTAAATGTTCGGTAATTTTAAATGATCAAACCTTTGACATTCCCTGTGAGCCCCATGATTCCCCATTCAGCCATAGTTTTGAAAAACAATTTTTCAAAAAGTCAAGTAGCATACTGTCAAGTCCAATTCAATCGAATTTTTAACAAAATCCTTAAAATAATATTTTAATAGAAACATGGGCAAGGGGGGTGGGGTGGGTGGGACATTGTAGCGAATTGCCATCTGTTAATTCAAACATAATTTATTAATAAAGACTTGCGGCGGTTGAATATCTAGCTTTTTCACGCATATGCTCGCCAATGCTAAGAAAATCAATCGTTATGAAATCTTTTACATACTTATCATCACTTATCACGTAGACGAAGTGTTTTATGTTGCTTTTGTTCAATAAGAAAAAAAAAAAAACATTTTTTTTTTAAAGAAAAAACTTCATGAGAGACTATCTTATACATAATAGGAATTATAACACTCTTAAGCATATATGCTTATTAAGATTTAGGGAAAGGCACAATACTAGAGTAGTCGACTTAATAGTACTTGGTAGAGTACTGGGATAGTAGACATAATTACAACAAATTACAAATAAAGTTAAAATATTAATTTGAGATACATATGCACATAGATAAGCATACCAGCAGCTTGCAACGGTGCACCCCGCCAAAGAACCAATCCAGCACCTAGATGCGAGAAAGACCAAATTTATTAATCATGGCAACCGACAATGGCAGAGCAAATACTCTGACAAATTCATAACCTATTAGGATTCAACGTTAATTTAAATTTAAATGGGACATGGGAAAATCGCTTGCATTAAGTAACACGGCCCTGATAAGCGATCAAGTGGTAGACTTCATTTAAATTGCTACAAGCAACTCTGAGCCGTTTAAACAGCTCGTAATTGTATTTACAATGTTTAAGCTTAATAAAAATACAGTGAGGGCGATTGGGAACATTAAACCGTATTTCCTCAAGTAATGTCGGCGAATCAACAGCACTGATGGTTACTTTGATTAGGAAGATCCGTCCAAAATAAATCTGCGTCTCTCAAGTGAAGGTAAGGATATCAGTTGTAATCTATTTTCATACGGCGATAGAGGCACGAGTGAATTCCGGCCCAAATTCCTAAGGGTTGTTTGCCCTTTGAATTGTTTCTGAAGGGTTTCTACTGTGTCAACATAACATTTATAAAAAGGAGACCACACAAACGAGGCATACTCCCTATATAGGTCTAGTATATTACCTGGTTTTGTTATGTAAGGAACCCTTATCTTATTGGATCAACGCTTAATAAAACTAAACATTGACTTAGCTTTAGTTGCGCTCAGTATGCAAATTAAAAAGTAATCTTTGGTCAAACAGCACCCCCCAATCAATGAAGAAGACCGAACTATGTGACGAACGTATTATGAATTATTTTTTCCAATCGAAAAAAACATGGCTTCTTTTAGGCTGACACAGCACAGCGACTTCTCTCTCAAAGAAAATTGCAATTTTTTTTATTCTTCGGTCGAAAGTTATAGGCATTTAGATAAGCTTTACTATATTTTTTATTTTTTTAATTTAATTTTTTTTGAAAAAGAAAGAAATATTATTGATTTTATTAACAATATATTTTTATATCATTACAGAATAATCAATTTTATTGTTACGTGACCTTTACTATGAACAAAAGGGCATCGATGCAGTTGCGTCAAGAACACCGAGATTGGTTGCAGGTATGATTAGTAACTTTTTTTTTATTCGAAATTTTTAATTATCCTTCTGCTCTTTTCCTCTTAAGAATTATCAAACTGAAATTCAAGATAAGCTCGGTATTGATAGCTTCCTAGTGCAGCCAATACAAAGACTGACTAAATATCCTTTATTATTGAAACAATTAATATCGGTAAGATACTTATGCGTGTTTCTCAAATTTATATAAAGTATTTTTTAAAGAAAAAATTCTTTATTAATTGCTTAGGAATTTTTTGGCATTAAATGTAAGCCAGTATTAACGGCAATTTGTAAATTGGAGACGCGCATGCGCGGTTTATTAGATGTCGTTAATCAAGCTGAAGAAATACCATATATTGAGGAACTTCCCGCACAGGTATATAAATTCTTAATGTATGCATTCATTAATTTATGTGTTTCTTATGTGTTTTGGGTTTTTGTTTTTTTTCTAAAGCTCTCTACAACAAATCTAAGTTATTTCCGGCGATCCGCGGAATTCGAAGCATATCATTATCGTCCGCGTAAAAAGTTTCCAGCCAAAGTATTACTTTTCGATAATTGTTTACTAATAACTGAAGTGCGTAAAAAGCAGTTAGTCTATCGCCATTATTATCAATGGTCAGCATTAGAGTTAAGAATTAATACTAAGAAGAATATAACTTTATTAACGAAAATTGGAGAGAGTACAACAAATGGTGGCAATGATATTGCTAAACAGAATGGCAATCATTTAAGGGAGGAATATCAATTTGTGGCCACGGAGGCTTTAACAATAGCGCCTTGGCTGCGTAGTGCTCGCAAAATTGTCGAATGTACGCGTCTAGAAATTTCGCAAAAAGGCAAACTGTCCTTGCCAATGGATTTGGTTTTGGGTGCGGCTTTTTCTATATGGCTTATATGGCATTATCTATAAGTATTGTCTTCTTTTTTTCTTTTTTTTTTTTTGTTAATAAAAGACGAAGAAATCATAAGGAAATCTGGTTATTTTCTTTGTGTCTCTTTTAGCCTTTTTATCTATAAATGCAATTTGTTTATTTTATGGTTTGTTAGGCCAGTCTCTCACTTCATTTTGCTTTATATACGCGTGCATACACACACACACACATATATATATATATATATATACACAAAGCTATATTTGTACGCTTGTGCACTCCTCAGGCATATGATTCTTTACTAACACACACACACACACACGTTCTTCTGTTATAAAGAAGCTTTCTTTGTGTAGAATCTTTAGGGTTATGCATCATTATGAATTTGGCAAAAGTATTTTGTTGTCGTTGCTGATGCAGTACATGTGTGCTTAGGATACTGATACAACGTCAACACATACTTATGTATATGAGCTTTTGTTCGCTGCTTGTGTACATTATTTGCTCATCTTATTTATTCCCAGCTGCTCCAACGTCCACACATGTTTTTTGAAGCGTAAAATAAGCTTCTTGCTCTTATGGAAAATGTCCACGCAAATACACACACACACACACACACACACACACACTTGCACTTAATATCTTTTTCTCTATGTGCACTTGTCTTTATTGTCAAATATGTTTATATGATAAATTACTTTGTCTTCTATTTTTCAATCTCGAGCCATAACAAGTATACTAATTTTATTGTTCGATTTGTAACAATAAACTCCTGATGCGTAGGCGCCATTAAGGCAATGTAGTTGAAACATTTTATTTGCTTGGCACGTCGTGGCCTAATCATAGAAGTTGAAATAAATAAATATATCTGACTGAGTCCGTTCAAGTCGAGCATTGAAGTAACATTTTTGACTAATCCCTTGCTATAGCTAATAATGGAATGGAAATTCATTATTACGCTCTTATAAGAAATACTTTTTTTTTATCTCACGCCTCTTACCAGATATACCAGCACACTAACTGATACCCTTCTTGACTCAACTATATGTTAATTGAAATTACGCAGAGAGAGCATCCAAAATTCGTCGTGAAGTTAGTAATGTTTTCTTACTTGTTCCTGTTATTATTGTCACTGCTTTGCGTGTCCCCTTTTTTTTTTCCTACATGCATATCCTTTTTGCACATTTCGGCTTATTTACTCAGTTGGTCTGATTCATATGGAAAACAGTATATTTTTTTGCTTTTTTTTTTTTTTTTGTGGGATCTGTTAGAGCCTCAGGCGCTTAAGGAAATATGGTGATTTTCTTGATTTGGTTTGATTTGGTATACTATGTGCATGTGCATATATTGAGGAAATTGAAATACTGAACAAGCATACTTTTGTTCTTGAAAGTCTAAAGAACTTAGTGGAAAAAGAATTGAGAAACAAATTTTAATCAGGAATTGCAAGACAATTGTTTATATGCCTGTCGCAAGCAATTTTTAAAAAACAAAGAATTCAAAATATTAAAAACGACCGGATTTAAAACTTAATCATCGATGCTCCAATAGGTTCTTCCTTCCAAATTTATTTATTTTAAAGTTTTCCGAAATTTTAAAAGTTCCTTAACTTTTTTTGCGTGCGACACTGATTATAGAATTTCCATCAAATCAATTTCCTTTGTTAACTTACAGATGCTTTGAACTTTTTAGGATGGGGGGTGGGAAGAAAGGTCATTACTTGCAAGATAATTTTTTCTTGAAATTTCAACTCCTTTCCCAAGTATTCCGATTGGTAATGCTTGTGTCAGATGAGGCTCCACTTGGAAGTGATTGTCTTGTATGTTTTTTTTGTCACTTGTGGATGTCACCAATGTGTTCAGGCGAGGAGGTGATCGGGTAGGGTGGAGAACTATTATCTGTGGTTTCGTGATATTAAATCCGGTCGTATAGTCACTGGTGATAGTCAACGCCATGGATTCCTGGAAGAGATGGCGTTTGTAGGGGAAAGATTTTCCGAATCACTTTTAGAGTCGATTTATGAATATCCGTTGTTTGTTTCCCTCATGTCATTCTATATAGATTTATATTCAATCTTATCGATATACTTTGGTACATATTGGGTTCGTGGTTTGGATTAAAACGGACGCTATTAGAAATGGGTTAGACCGGAATACTTTTATGACCAAATTATATACTTTTCATCTAAGGATGTCTTGGCACAGATCGTTGAAAAGTAAGAATTAGAAAATTTGGGGGAAATGAGACCATTCTTTGGACCTTCTTTCATATAATGACAAGGTCCAATTTTGATATATTCCATGAAATATTAGTAGTACTATTATTGTAGTCGGGAAAGGCGGGTTATTATATACCCTACGCCAGTGTGCTTAATGTTGTCGCTCACTTATTTGCTTCATAATACATCATTTGCTTCATATGCATTATTTTTCTGTAAATGCATAGTTTTCATGAATGCCCTCATATTGCTGAGAACGTTCGGAACGTTAACTAACATTGTCCGAATATTGTCCAATAAACGCAGTTTATTTATCAAAGATTTTATAATGTTCTTGGTGCTTCCGTTATAGCAAACCTTAAATTAGACGCTGTCGCCATAGTAGGACTTGCTTTCATGCGGGCCCCTCTATATGGTGCGGTCTAAAAAGTAGATTTATGTGAGCCGAGTTCCATAAGGTTAACTCACTAAGGACCAATTTACATCACAAAATATTAACAATTAGAACTTTTTGTCGTACAAAGGTTCACTTTTCGTTAGAATTCCTACAAAGGACGGAATTCAAAAAATAGAGTTACGTTGTTTAAATTCGACAAGGCCAATTTTTATGTCAAATTATTATTACAAACGCATTTTAGTCAAGAAGTTTTGAAAATTAGTTTTCATTCCCATATGAAGATTCAGTTTTCATCGTTCGTCCTTGGCCCAAAGCACGCTTATGTAACAAATTTCATCCAGATATTTCCAAAATTACGAACTTTAAGTTGAGAAGACATCAAAGGGACAGGCGGACAGACAAGCTTGGTCCGATTCCAAATTTTTCGGGATGTCGCATACATCCGCACAAACTTAATACCTCCTGAGCGACAAGTCGTGTAGGATAGAAGAGGTAGAAATGTTACGATCACTTAATAATTTCTTAACTTTTGATATTTAATTAAGAAGTTGTATGAACAATTGCTTTAAGCGAGAAGGCGTAGGATATTTAATAGCCCGCCTTGGGCAAATATATATAAAAATTTAATACGCATTATTGAAATGAGTTTGCATTGGTCTTAAAGAGCTCCTAAGTCGCGAAGCTTTTCGTTCCTAGATCGTCTAGAAAAGCTATTAAAGTTGATACAGAAGCATTACGTCCACTATCCAAGGTACTGATATCTGCTTTCCAGGGCACTCGCGAACTGCAAGACGTATCTTTTTAATCAAGATGACCAGCAAACTTAATTTTGCTCGTTTTTCCTTTCTTGGCATTTTAAACAAATTGACATCAAAACTTGGTCTGCAACGAGACACTTGAGTTAAATTCTTTTTGTTTTGCGGTCATCGGGTTATGTTTGAAAACTCGATTCCTTTCAATTCCAACTCAAAAAAAAAAAAAAAATATCGATATTGTAAAATTCCCAAGTGTGGCAGTTAACCCGGGCACATGCTATGCTGAACACATTTGACAATGACTTTAATAAATTTTAATAAAAACAAAAGCAAAACCTTTCTATATTAAATAGCATGTAAATAATAGCTGTAGACGACTAAGGCCCACGGACTTTGAAAATAAAGCTTTATGTGGGGAATGGTCGTTAAAGTGGTTCTAACTGAACTATTTTCAACAGCGTTCGTACTTGGGCGAAAACATGCCTATGTAGCAAATTTCATCGAAACATCAAGAATGCAAGACGGACAGAGCTTAAGCCTAAATTCAGATTCAGAAAATGATTCGTTCTTTGTTAATCGGTATAATAAAAGGTATCCGTACGTAATACATCCATGTGCCACAGTTGGGGTAGGGCATAAAGACTATTATTGTGTTATTGTATACATTTCGTATAAATCATCAAATTATTATCGAATCAAGGGATCCTTTGAATTTCAATCAATTTCTCTCGTTATTTATTATTTCTTAGCGAAACTTTGTAAAATATCGTAGAATGTTTGGTGCAATGAATTTAACATTTCTATTTAAATGCTATGCCTCTTGTAAAATAGCCTGTCATTGTGCTGTTGTTAGTGAGAAATCGTAGGTAGCATTAAGTCTGTTAGACTATATGCTGTCACCATTGGCGGCGGCTGTTTGTTTGCGTATGCATTTAAGTATAATATACAACTAACATTATCGCATAAAATTGTTAAGTGTGCATGTGTTAGTTCATGTGTAAGGCATGCATACATATCCTGAGAGGCATTATAATGCAGCTTTATTTTCCTCCAGGCATTAGTTTTATGTTATCATGTCTTGAAGAGAATAAATGTTAGTAAAAATATATACATATATATATATATATATATAGATATATGTATATATATATATAGATTATTTTTTTTTATTTCATTTTATTTAACAAGAAAATTTTCCTTAAATTGCATTTTCTGTCGTTAGTGTAATTTGTATTAGTGCAAGTAGTCCACAAGACAAGAGGGATTTTCGATTCAATTCAAAAAAAAAAAAAAAAAAAAAAATGAAAAAACGAAAAAAAAAAAAGAAAAAAGAAAAAGTATTGGAAACTTGAAAGGTTACTGTGAAGCGAAAACCATAAAGGTAGGCAGGCAAGTCAAACTGAGGTGAGTTGAGTGAAGAATAACATTTTATTGGCCATTTTTCCGGTTGTGCTAGAATTGTAAGAAAATTTCAATTTCATTTCTTACGTTAAGATATATGATCTGTCGTTAGTTAAGGCATTCCATCCCCAAACTATTACCGCCGCCAGGGCTTCATGCACATGTTGGGTGACTGACTATTTCAACGCTATACGGCACGAGTTATGTGATTACAAAAAAATGAATTTTAAGCATACGAATGCGAGAGAGACCTCCACACATATGCCTGTCTACACGCGGACGGGTGTAAGTAATATTGTTAGTTACTAGTAGCTTGAAAGA